AACGCAAGCAGCGCAAGGAAGGAACAGGGTCCTAGTTAGGGGAACAAAAAGTGACATAAACATAAAAACTCGGAGGTCCGCGCGGATTTCTCAGATCGGTGCAGGACCCCCCTCCCTGGCGCGCGGAGCGCGCCAGGGGCGGCGCCGGAGGCGCCGCCAGGGGGCCCCAGCGCCGATCCGAGAAATCCGCGCGGACCTCCGAGTTATTTTGTTTATGTCACTGTTTGTTCCCCTAACGAAGTGACCGCGAGTCTTGGACCCCCCCGCCTCGTGTCCTGGTGCCACCATTTTTCCCGTGACGCGTCTCCGCTCCGGGGCAGCCCTGGGGCCGTGAAGAGTGCCCGGGAGCCCGAGAACAGGAAGAGAACTGCGAGGCCCATGTGTTTCCACATCACGTGTCTTCATGGCAATCCCAAAACACATTTTTGGGGTCTGCAGGTCGAGAGCGAGCCTCTTCCGGTTAAGAGCCAGGCGGGGCGCGCAAAGCACGAATTTGGGGAGACAGGGCGCGGGCGGGCGGGGCCTCAGGCGGCCGGAGGGCGCGGGGTGCAGGCGGTGCCGAAGAGCTTGCACGGGGAAAGGTGCGCCTTGGACAAGAGCCGGGCAATCCTAAAACACACAAAAAACGGTATCCTGAAACCTTCCAAGATCCATCCTGTCATGTTGCATCCTCGGGGGACCTCAACTGTCCCGTCGCGGCCCTATCCGAGTCGAATCCGTGTCGAATGCATGGCGGACTCGTCGGACCCGTGACGAATCCGCATCGAGTCCATGCCAAATCCGCGTCGAATCTGCATCGAGCCCGCATCGGGCACAAGAAAAGACATCAGTTTTGGGGGCAGGCGAGGTCCCGCGAAGATGTACTGTAAATCCTGGACAATGTTTCGAGCTGTGTCCTCCAGGAGCGGCTCCCAAAACATAAAAAACGATGAGGACGACTTCGCGGAGATCATCTGCATTGGGGGAACAACAAGATACTGATACCGCCATTCCCCGGACCTCTCCAGGGCTGCGCTCTGATCAGCATTTCGAGGCGACTCCAGCCGCGGCGACGAGGGCCGCCCAGGAGGCCCCAAAAAGGCGAACACGAGCCAAGAGCAGCGGTATCAATGCCTTAAAGGGCCCTGGACACGACAGGGCCGTTTTTTTACCGGTTCCGTTCTGCTGTTTTTTTGTGCCGGTTCCGACGCCGTTTTTTTACCGGTTCCGTCGCCGTTTTTTGACTGGCTCCGGCTCCGGTTCCAATCCTGGAGCCGTTTTTTTGCCGTTTCCAGTCGCCGTTTTTTTGCCGTTTCCTTTTTCAACGGACATTCTCTGGGAAACGGTGAAAAAACGGCCCTGCCGTTTCGGGGGCCCACGAAGATCAGTGCCCCTCCTCCCCTGATGCATGGGGGAGGAAAAGTCCTTCCTGACCTTCCCCTGGGCCAGCGACGTGGCCATCGAGAAGAAGTCGTCCGCGGGCTGCGCGGCGGCGGGCAACTCCGCCTGTCCAGGAACACCCGTCCATACGTTTCTGCCTCCTGGGGCCCAAACAACCTGCAGGCACGATAACAACCAAGCAGGAACTGGGGAGGAGAGTGGGAGAGAAAGAGAGAAGCAACATGATGACACATAATCACGAAGCACGACACGAAAACATGTGCATATAAATATGTCAAAATATATGTATATTCATATACACATGTATACATTTACATATATAGATGTACCTGCGTTGATGCAAACAGACATGTTGAAGCATACGTTGATCGGTGGCGGCGCGAGTACATATGGGGACAGGGCCATACACATGCACATGTATTTATATATAGGTATACAGATATATAGACAAGTTCACATATACAGATATGGGTTTGGTGAAGGACAGAAAACCGAGAGAGAGAGAGAGAGAGCAACCATTGTAGCTAAGTGGAGACATAAAAGACGGGCACAACAGACCAACATGAAGAAAAACAACATTGAAACAGAGAAGATCAGGTGGTGCAAATGTCGTCGCAGGCCGGAAATTAGAAAAAAAATGTGCGACCCCAAAGCACGCAAGGGTCCCTTGCAATGCGGCTTCCTTCACATATGATCACTCGCCATATCGAAGAAGCGAAATGCAAGGCCCCGCCAAGAACTCCGCAAGAGCAAACAAAATGTATATTCCTCTGCATGTGCATATCTATGCTTCCGTATAGCCGTGTATATATATATAAATGCATAGATAGATAAATAAGTGGGTCAGCGCGTGCAACACATAGTGTGATTTGCAAATCTCGGTGTTGCGATCTATGTTGTGCAACTCGTGGTGTGCATGATCGGTTCTGCCATATATGTTTTTCAAAATGTTAATTGTTGTTCGCAATGAATTGTCTACCCTGCTGCTCGCGCAATCATCCCACCCACCCATCCGTTCGCTTGTTTGCAAAACCCATGTGGCGGCGATTGCGATGAGTGCTTGGAGTTGGCTGGTGCGTCTCCGCGGCCGCGCTAGCCCGCGCATGCTCGCGCGCGAAGCGGCCAACTAATTCGGCACGGCCGACCCGGCCGCGGTGGCGCTGACCGCTGGGCAATTCCGAACGGATACTTCACTGCGAGTTGGTAATTTGGGCGGGCGCGGTAGCAGGCAATGTCGAAAATGGTAGACACAGTCATGATGGTAACGATGCTGGTGACGAGGATGACGATGACGGCGGCAAGACCAGTGACGGCGCCGATGCTGATCACGCCGACGGTCGACGACGATGAAGGCGTCCCCGCGTCGGCGTGGCCCGCGTGGTATCATTTGACACGGATCGTGCCCCCCCCCCCCCAGCAAGGGCGTTCGAGCGATTCCGGCACGAGCGCGCGAGAGGCCTGAAAAAACTAGGGTTTGCTCCAGAAGTCGCAAGAGCCAGAGCACAAGCTTTGCATGAAATAAACTTGCTGCAAACACGTGGTTTGTGTTCTGTGTTCAGAACACTCACTTTGGAAATCGCGACGAAAACTACGTTCACAGAAGGCTTTGGGCATGCGCGCGCGTCGCCGCGCGCGTGTGGATGCTGTCTAATGTTATATGGTGAGGTTTGGTAGACGATTGCGCGTGCATCGCATTATTTGTCAGGGATGGGAAGGTGATGGTCGATCAGGGCACTCCCTGGGAGGGTCGGGTTTGATTGAAAATGAGAGATGGGGCAACACCACACGTAAATGGTACTGTGCCAAGGGGTATCGCTAAAATCGGAGGTGGGTGGGTGGTAGAAAAGAACTCCCCCCTAGAAAGGCGACCATGCGCGGTGCAACATACGTGGTGCAATGCATGTGGTACAAAATCTGTGGTGCGCTTTATGTTGTGCCACATATGGTACGCGACCCATGTTGTGCGACATTTGAATTGGCATCGATCTGACAAAAACATTGGTGGTGCAAGCGATGTGGAGCAATACATGTATTACAATTTGCGTGGTGCACTACACGCGGTGCATCCGAGGTGGTGCAATATATATATATATATGTAATTATATATATGTGTATGTGTATATATATATATACATATGTATACTTGTGATGTGGTCGAACGCTGTGCAATACATTATGTGCAATCGATGCGGCCCGATCTATGTTGTGCAATCGACGTGGCGCAATATATGCAGTGCAATCAATCTACGAGATGCAACCTATGGTCCAATGTATGCGGTGCAATGTATGCGAGGCAGCGACGGGCAGCGATGTCGACAAGACAACCGCCAAACCGACGGTCAGGTCCAGACGACGGGCGGCGGCGGGGCGGCGGCGGGGCGGCGACGGCGACAACCTAGCCCCCAGACCGACGGGCAGGCCCAAACGGCGGGCGGCGACGGAGACAATATAGCCCCCAGACTGGCGTTCCAGGGCTGGACCTAAACAGTGTGTTTCGTTTTCGTTTTGTGGTCGATGTCTCTCGCTTTTGTCTCGAATCCGCCTCTGCCGCAAGACGAAGACGAAACGAAAACGGCCCACGAAATCGCCAAAATCACCGTTTAGGTCCCGCCCTGTGGCGTTCAGGCCCAGGCGACGGGCGGCGCCGAGGCGGCGCCGGGGCGGCGGCGGCGGCAACGTAGCTGCCAGACCCTGGTCAGGCCGAGACGACGGGCGGCAACGGGGCGGCGACGGCGACGTAGCCGCCAAGCCGACGGTCGGGCCCAGCCCCTAAGGCCAGTGAGAAACCCGAAACCCTGCTTGCTTGGAGAGCATATATACAACGCATATATGCCTAAGAAGCGAAGGTAAAACGACACAAGGAAGAGATAATCGAGAAAGAGAGAGAGAGCACAAAAGAAGGAAGAGAAAACGATACTGAGAGAGAGAGAGAGAGAGACAGATACACACACACACGACTTGCGCCAAGGCGTTTACGCAGGGATGAATCATCTGACCCTTGGAACATGCGTCGACCTCGCCAAGTCGACCTCGACCGTTGCGTGGAACGTCTCGGGGTCACCAATGTATGCACAACGCAATTGCGACACTTGTCACTACGATACCGCCCAAGGGCGAACATTTGCACTACCTCCAGCGGTCTCTCCGCCGCCGCAAGCCAGAAGACAGGTGCATGGCGAAAGGAAGATCTGCTTGGTTGCAAATATTGGCGGCGCGCAGAGGGGGGGGGCAGGCTTTTTACAAGGAAGCTGCTTCTGAGAAGGCGCCAGCCGTACAGCTATGGACAAGGCCCGCGCCTTCTAAGAAGCAACCTCACTCTAGCAAGCCTTCCACCCTCCCCCTGCCCTCCTCCGCGCGGGGCTGCAAATGCGCGAATGAGCATTACCAAACAACCCCAAACATCCGCGAGCGAGGCAGAAGTGGCCGCCTCCTCCTCCTCCCATCCGAATGTCAACGCTCGAGAGGAGCCCGCCCCGCCCAATGCTTCATGCCTGCCTCCTCCTCCTCCTGCTCCATCGCTCGTCCTTACAGTCGGGCCTGATTGGAGAGGACACGTTAGAGGACACAAGACCCTTCCGAGAGCCGCACTGCCCCAATAATGTGGAAGGCATGGGTCGCGAAGCACGGGACACAAGGGCACCCCTGAGTTGGCAGGGTCGACCTGCTAGTCAAACTCGACTGCATGATGAACAGCTGCTCCCTGTCGAACCCCGCGGGTGGTCCCACGGGCGGGCCTGGCGTCTCGCCTCGCCTGGCGTGTCGCGCCTGTGTCATCCTGAAGCTCCACACTTGACGAACCAGCAACACACACCCATATCCATAGGGGGGTCGGAGAGGGCTACGGGTGCGTGTTGTCGGATGGGCGTCCCCGCTCGAACGGGAGCGTTCCCCAGGGTCCGACAACCCGCACCCATAATCATAGCCAGTCCTCCTCCCAACGTCCCTCCTGTGGGTATGGGTGTGTGTGTGTGTGTGTGTTGTTCGTTCGTCAACACCTGCAAAAGACTCACGGATGGGGGGCGGCACGCCCTCAAAACGCGGCTCTCGCCTGGGCGCCGCGCGCACTCATGTTTTCAAAAGTCCCCAACAGCCTCGCGGATGGAGGGCGGTCTTCAACATGAGGCTCTCTCGCCATTGCGCCGCGCGCACTCATCTTGAGAGTTTGTAGCAGGTTGAACGATTCACACTGCCGAGTATCCAAAATCCCGCCAACCCTCTGGGCGTAGGTGGTCTAGGGTGGGTTCTCTTTCAACCCTTTCCTCGTCCCCTTCGGAGAAAGATTTATCACCGTTCCTTGTTGATGTACACCCCCTCCCCCCCTCGGCCGGATGCCGACCCGGAACCATGCCGACCCCATGCGGGCCAGCCCCCCACCATCCCTGTGAAGGAACAACGCAAACCGCACTCGACCTCCTCATTTGGAACATGCGCGGCCAACCCGCTGCACCCACCCCCACACCATCCCGGTCAAAAAAAATACAAAGTACACTTTGGGGCAGAATCTTGAATCGTGTTCGTCAGGCCCGCGAGCACTTTGTCTTGTTTTTGACAAGGACGGCGGCGATGTCAGATATTCCCTGCTGTGCGCACGGCTAACATCCCTGACAAAAATCAATACAACATGCACCTCACGGCCAAATCTGGATCATGCGCGGCCATCCCGCGATCACTGTCAAGTGGTTTTTGACAGGGACGGCGGGATTGGTGCCGCGTGGCCTGCTGCGCGCAGGCCCACCAGACACCATGATGGGCATTGGTTTTTCCACACGGATGGCGAGGGCCGACAAGCTTCCCGATGTGTGCTGTCACGTGCGCAGGCGCACCTGACGCACTCCGCACGTGCCCCGAACGCGGCGCACCTGGCGCGGCTGGAGTGTGCGGCACACCTGGCGCGCGCGTGGCGCATCTGGCGCACCAGGCGTGCCTGGCACGCTCGGGCCCCCAGGGGTGCTTGTCGCGCGTGGGCGCCCCTTCCACGCGCGGCGCACCTCGCTCGAGCGTCGCGCCCCTGGGGTCGGGCTTTCCCCCTGCGTAGGGAGGGCGGGTGGGAGTGAGCTAGACGGCTTGCGGGCGGCTGGGAAGCTTGACCCCTCCCCCTGCTCCCTCGCCTGGGCCTGGAGAAGGGCTGCCCAACAGGATGGCCAGCGTCCAAGATGGCGTTGCAGCGTCCAAGATGGCCCAAGATGGCTCCAACAGGGCCTCAGGGAGGCCACGGTGACTTCCGAGACGGCTCAAGATGGCCCAGGATGGCGCAGCATGGCCCACACGGGGGGGGGAGCGCAGGGGGAGGGAGGGTTGGAAGGGGGAGGGAGGATTCCCCGTGCATTTGTCGGTTTCGTGCGTGTTTTTGTTGCTCGATGGTCCAGGATGGTCCTCGCCGAGAAAAAATACACACGTCCGAGCGATGCCGAGAGGGAGGGAGAGAGGGGAGGGAGCGAGGGAGAGAGGGGAGGGAGGGGAGGGGAGGGAGAGGGAGAGGGAGAGGGGGGGGGGGGGAGGGAGCGAGGGGAGGGAGCGAGGGGGCCGAGGGGGGAGCGGGGGAGCGAGGGAGCGAGGGAGGGGGGAGGGGGGGGGGGCGCCGCCGGGCCTCTGCGGGCGGCCGCGCCGCGGGCGCTCGGGCCTCCGCGCGGGCGGCCGGGGCCTCGCGGCGGGGGGGGGGAGGGGGGGCGCGGGGAGGGGCGCGGGGAGGGAGGAGGAGGAGGGAGGGAGGAGGAGGAGGAGGGGGAGGAGCGGCGCGGAGAGGGGGGGGGGGGGGGCAGCGCGGGCGCGCATCCTGCGGACCCTCGGCGGCGAGCGAGGGAGGAGATGCGCCCCCATCCCACGCCCCTGCGTGACCTGGCCTCCGAAGTCGGGGTTCTCTCGCAGCGCGGATTCCCTGGGGCCTCGACCCCGTCCCCGGGACCGCGTGTCATCCCGAGCCGTGTCGTGGCGGCCGCCGGGCTCGGTAGGGGCCCCGCTGGAGGCCGAAGGTCTCCCAAAGTTCTCTCCCGCCGTGATGTCTTCCATGTGCGCGTGCCGCCAATGTGGCCACCTCCCCTCCCCAACTCGGCGGCGAGCGGGGGGGGGAAACGAGAAGGAGAAGGAGAAGGCCTCCTCAGAAGGCGGGCAGGACTTCTCAGAAGCCCTCGGGCCCTCATTAAGTCTTCGAGGAAGGCTCTGATGACTTCTCGGGAGGCCGGCGGCTTCCCGAGACTTCTGAAAAGTCCCGCCGCCTTCTGAGAAGGCCTTCTCCTTCTCCGCCAAACAATGTGTGGCTGCAGTGCACTGACTCGCTGGTCACACAAGCGCCTGGTACGTCAACCGCCGCTCTGTCTAGAATGGTGCGTATGATGTTCATAATCCGCCACGTCTAGGGAAACCAAAAGGTACCGCTACGGCTACTCCACGGCCCTTTCTCGGGAGCGGCCAAGAGGGGGGTGTCCAAGAGGGGGGGGTGCAAATCATGACCGGCGGCATGTGCGCGGCCGAGCGGGGGCGCCAGGGAAGTAATGAAACAAGAAGAGGCGCCATGAAATCTGAGGAAATATCATGACCCCCGCCATGATATCCACCCCCCCCCAGTCATCACCCCCCTCTTTTCCGCCCCCGACTTTCCTGGGGTGCGTTCTGACAGGACGTTCGGGGCGGATCCAGCGGTGGCGACGAGGGCCTCCAAGGAGGCGCCCAGAGGAGAAAACGAGGCAAGGGTGGCCACGTTCCTTCTCCGCCGCTCTGCCTAGAGCAGTGCGACATGCACCACCAGTCATGCTCTTGTGATTCGCAATGTACGTACCCCTAGCCTTGAGTCGGGCCTGTCCCCCTACTACAGGCCGATGTTGGACGAAAAATTTGAATACCCCCAAAATGCCCCAAACATGTCCAGAAATGGTCAAGAAATAATCCCCAGACTATGTGTTTACTGTTTTTGAATATTCCCCCTGTAGAGGGACAGGCCCGACTTAACCCTAGCCCCTTGGGAGGGAACTGAAGGGTCTTTCCAGCAGATGTATCAAACCAACCCGCCCAGAGGTAGTATCCCTGATGCGAAGACGGGGACCTAAGTCAAGCTACGTCTTCATCGTGTTATTAGATTCAGGGGGTCTTTTATTCTCGGTGGTCTTAAATGTGATGTTCCGATTTCGTCACTTAGAAACCTTTCCTCGGTCCTCCCTCTGCCCCGGGCTCCCCCTCTCCCTCCGGCGCCCTTTGTTCCCAAGTCCATGGCCTGGTCCTCCTACATCAACAGCCCCCGACACAATGATACCCAACGGACAGGTTTGCTCGTTTGCATATTCGGCGGCGAGCTCGGGGGGAGGTGAGAAGGAGAAGACCTTCTTAGAAAGCGGCGGGACGACTTCTCAGAAACCCTCGCGCCTTCTGAAAAGTTTGTCGTGTCTCCCAGGAAGGCTCAGAAAACTTCTCAGAAGGCCCGGGAAGTTCCGAGCCTTCTGAAAAGACCTTCCCCTTCTCACTTCTATCCGACACAATGATACCCAACGGGCTGGTTAGATGGTCTGCCCAGGCGTAGCTTAATATAGAGGGCGAACAACTGGCCATCGCTCGGACGTCCATTCCCTATGTTTTTTTTTCGGTTGCGTGCGTGGTTCTTTCGCCAAATGATCAAGGATGCTCCTCGATGGTCCTCGCCGAAGGAAAAAGACACACGTCCGAGCGATGCCAAGACAACGGGGGGAGGGAAGATGGGCCAACTCTTCAGACCTCAAAAATCCCGCTTGGGGCCCCAAAGGGCCCCTCGAGAGCCCTAAGAGGCACCTTCTCGGCAGCCCTCGCTGCCCCTCCCCCCCCATTCGTCGCCCCCCACCCACTACGCGACGCCCAATTTGCACATGCATGCGCGCGCCAGGGATTGACGCCATTGGGCGCAACGTGCACGGGCACCGCTCTTTGCACCGTCGGGCAGCACGGCACTGCTAATTCGGCTCACGCACGAGCCTCGTGTCAGCTGGATTCGGCACCGAAGGGGGCCCGACGCTGGCTGAAATGGGAACCCTGCAGCTGTTGACGTCTCAGTTCGAGCCTTGTCCCGCTCGCCCTCTCCCAATTACTCGCCCTCTCCAGGGCGGCCCAAGACGGTGCGGTGACAAATCGTGCGGTGACTTCACCGCGCGAGTCGGGGATCTTCTGACCCGGGTCAATCCAGACCCGGGTCAGTCAGGCCATGCAGAATCCTGCAAAATCCTACAACATCCTGCGCCCAAGCCCGGATCAATGCGAATAATCCCTGCAAGATCCTGCAGGATCCTGCACCCAAACCCGGGTCATTGCGACCCTGGCCGTGCCTCATCCTTCAAGATCGGGCGCTCTGGCTGACCCCCACTTGCATTAACCCCCGCCTCAAGGCTCCCGCACGAGCCGTCACCCCACCGCGCTGGGACCCTGGAGGCCCCCGTCGTCCGAGCCCTCGCCGAGAACTGCCCGAGCCCTCGCGAGACCGTGCGGTCACCCCGAGGCCCCACGGGCGCACCGCAGGGCGTGGTCGCCGCGCCGTGCGGTGGCCCCATGCGCAAGAGGATGTTGGGCTACTGGCTGCATGACCTTTCTCTCCGGCAGCCCGATCTGTCCTGTGTTCCCTCTCTTGCATGCTGGCCAAGTCGCAACAGTCGGCCGTGATTGGACAGGACACGCGAGAGGACACAAGACCCTTCCGAGGGCACATCGCCACAGGAGTGTAAGAAGGCACGTATCGCGAGGCACAGGACACAAAGGTACCCTTGAGCTGGCAGGGTCGACCTACTAATCCGGGCCGACTGTACAACGGTGCCCCCGTTTAGATGGTTCCATACGCCAGCGCAAGCGACCCCTGCCTAGCCGCCGACGAAACAAGTGACCTTTCTCCCTGCCCTTTTCCTTCTGCACCACCGGGACAAGCGTCATCGATCGCTTGAGCACCCCATGCTGAGTACACGACGCCTCACGCTGTGGCGTGACATGGTGCTACAAACATGGTTAGAGCCCAGAAGAGGCGACGGACAAGGCGGGCAAACAAATCACAATGAAGGCTATACTTCGGAACGGAAAGACCTGGGCTGGCGTGATAAAAAACTCTTACAGAAACCAAAAGGTACTGATACCGATACCGCTACTCCCCTTCTCCCGGGGTGCGTTCTTACCAGGATTTCGATGCGCATTCAGCGGTGGCGACGATGGCCTCCCAGGAAGACCAAAACGGGGGAAACGAGGGAAAGGTAGCGGTATGGGTACTTCTTCCTTCTCTGAACTCTCACCCGCACTCCCCCGCTCGCCACCGCCCCGGGGAGCGCCTCGCCGTCGGACGAGGACCCGCTGGAACTGCCCGGGGCCGCCTTGGCGGCCTTCTCATCCTTCTTCTTCTTCTTGGCCTCCTTCCGCTTCTCCTCTCGGGGGAGCGCAAACGTGGATTAGCCATCCATGGATTTACTGCGCGGTCGCCAAATCCATGGATCGCGGGAGGTGCCCTCCCCAAAATGCGGCCCGTGGCGCCTCGCTCGGCGGCGGCAGTCCGCGACTTCCGGTGGAAACGGGACCCGTCGGTAATCTAGAGGGCAAACAAGCCTACCTCGCTTTTGACCACCCTCGCCTCCAAGAGGTACCAAGCGATGCCAAACTACGGCCTGTGCTGGTCAGGCCGCTTGACGAGGAGGCGCGTGGCATGACCCGGTTCTGCCTGGAAGCGAAAGCGAAAACAGGCCCATCAGGGGTAGGCAATGCACGCTCTGATCATCCACGCCCCCTCAATCCAGGTCCGCGATCGCCCCAGCCTCGGGCCCCACGGCACGGGCGGGCCGCCGAGAGGGGCGCCGGGAGCGGTGTGGGGAAGGAAGAGCTGCCCCCACGGGTCAGCACGGCACCGAGGGGACGGGCCGCGGCCTGCGGTCCCGTCATGGTTCGGCAACCGCGTGCAACCACGTGAATCGACAACAACAACACCAGCAACAACAACACCAACACGACCAACAACAACAACAACAACAACAACAACAACAACAACAACCCACCACCACCACCACAACCACCAACAACAACAACGACAACAACAACAACAGCAACAACAACAACAACACCAACAACAACAACAACGACAACAACAACAACAACGACAACAACAACACCAACAACAACACCAACACCAACAACACCAACAACACCAACAACAACAACAACAACAACAACTACTACTACTCCGTTTCAGAACTGAAGCGACGTTTGTAACCAAGTTACCCCCAAGCCGGAGTGTTCGGTGTCGATTGGACCCGCAGGGGTAGGGGTAGCGCTCGCCAGTCGCAAGTGGTGAGAGAATGGTCCTGTCGAGGTCCTGGCGCTTGCCTGGTGGGGCCCTGACGTGGTCCAGATAGGGTCCTGGAGCAGAACTCCTGGTAGGGTACTGGTGGGGTCCTGGCATGGCCCTGAACCGGCTTAAAGAAAGGTTATGGTAGGGTCGCTAGAAGGCCCTGGTAGCGTCCTCAAGTGGCAAAGCCCGCCTTGGCAGCGTCATGGTGGTAAGATCTTCGCTTTTTTTTCTGTTCTGCCCTGGCCCTCACAAGGTCCTGCCATATGGTCATGGCTAGGTCCCGTTGCGCGCCATGACAATTCTTGCGGATCCTCCCCCCCTTCTGGAACAATCCTCAGCGCTGCACTCCCCCCAGTGGATGTAGCACTAACCCCCCCGCCCATGGATCACCCCCCTGTGGACTCTCTCTCTCTTTTCTCTCTTCCTATCTTCCTTCTTGAGGGGGCCCAGGGAGACACAAAAAATAGACACACATCCCAGGATTGCCCATATGTTCAAAAATCTTCTGAACTCTCGTTTACCCCCACATTTCCCAGGTTTGAATATTTTCCTGTGAGTCGCCGATTAAGTGTGTCTGTGTGTCTTTTCCCCTCCTCCTTCTCCCCTCCCCGAATCATCCTTCCCCCTTGTGGACCTCCCAGCCCCTTACAGTGGAGGCCAATCAACAAGAAACCTTCCACAAGAAACCCGACCCTGAGACCGGAGGACGTCCATCGGTTTTTGGAGTGGGAACGTGTGGGGACGCCACGCCTCCCACAGCAGAACCATTGACACCCAAGAAGCTCAGGGCACACTGGAAGCAATGTGCTTCTTGGGCTGGGCCTCCCCTGTGTTGGATCCCCCGCCACTGTTGCGGGCAATACTTCTGTCCATATCCACTGCAGTATGGACCGAGTTCCGGGCTCCCTTCCCCAGAACCCCGAGGCACACTGTGTATGGACAAGTTTGCCCACCATAGAGGCTAGGCTTTTATCGATATCCAGTGCGCCTCGGCCTTGAGGCGCTCCTTCCAAAAAGATTCAAGACGCACTGGACATGGATATAAGTCCTGCCCGCATTCCACACCAAAGCCATTGAAACACAAGGAACTCAGGGCCCACTGGAAGCAGCGTGTTTCTTGGCCTGGGCCTCCCCTGTATTGGATCCCCCGCCGCTGTATCCGCCGCCCGCTGTGCACCCCCCCCGCGGCGCTGGGGCCAAGGAAAAAGGCCGCGGCCGGGGCCCGAGATCCGGGACCGGCGCTGGCGAGCACTTCGCGAGCACCTCCTCCCCCTCTCCCAGCGCTCCCTCCCTCTGCTGGCTGCTCCCGGAGAGGACGTCTTCGACACCAGGATTGATCGTCGGCGCGCCCGAGGGGGGGCAATGAGAAGGGGAGGGCCTCCTCCGAAGGCTCAGATTTGGACGCCCGAAATGGGTACGGAAAGAATGGGTACAATGCCCAACCACAAATGTTGTCCCAAACCAGCAGCGGCCTCTGTTGGGCATGCGGCCTTCTGTCTCAAATGGACACAGGCCGCGGCGGCGTGGACAGCGAGTCCTGCTCAAAATGAATGGGAACTGCTGTTGGGCATTGTGCCCTCTCTTTCCGTGCCCATTTCGGGCGTCCACACCTCTGCTAGCTGCTCCCGGAGAGGGCTTCTTCGACACCAGGATTGATCGTCGGCGCGCCCGCGGGGGGGAAAGAAACGAGAAGGGGAGGGCCTCCTCCGAAGGCTCAGAAGTCCCCTCGGCCTTATGAGGCAATTCTCTGAGCCGTCTCCGGAAGCCTCTCAAAGGGCGCGGGGGCTCCTGAGAAGCCCCGCCTTCTGAGAACGCCTTCTCCTTCTCACTTGCCTTCTCGCTGGCCGCCGGAATGAGATTCGGGAATACAGAATCTCACCGATGTAGAGGTCTCCTCGATGGGGTCCGAGTAGATGGGGCCGGAGGATCGCGCCGCATCGGCGAAGCATCGGCGACACATCATCGCCGATGCATCGGCGCGACGTCGGCGAAGCGTCGGCGCCATTTTCGCCGATGCATCGGCGATGCAGCGCGATCCTGTGACCCCGTCTACTCCGACCCTATTTGTAAGCCCCTGGGGGTCTGCATCTTTGCGGCAAGCATGTGGGCGATTTCTTATTCGGCGTTTCGACACTTGGCGGAGGGAGGAAAAGGGGGGTCTGGCTCCGGACCTCTGCTTGATGAGTCTGCTGGCAACAGTGCGTCCTACGGGGGATACCCCGCCTGCTCGAAACAGGCGCCAAGAAACCGCTAAGAATACTCTCCATGGGGGGGTCGGGGGGGAGGTGCGAGGGCCAGCGCCGATAGGCAAAACAATGACGAAGAAAACGATCACTATGGGGGCCCTGGCAATCTGGGCGAGGCAATTTGAAGGCAGATTTGGGGCGAAAGTTCGCGGCGGCCGGAGGGATGGCCGATGTGTGGGGCCAGCAAAATGGCCGAGGTTTGGAGCCGGGAGGATGGCCGAGGTGCGGGGCAGGGAGGATGCCCGAGCTGGTAACCTTCCACAAGGTGCGCGACCGTCCCAGACCCCCTGTTATGTACAAGACCCTATCTGGGAGGCCTAGAACCGAGCCCCAGGAGGAGGAGGAAGAGGAGGAGGAATGGGAGGAGGAGGAGGAGGAGGAGGAGGAGGAGGAGGAGGAGGAGGAATGGGAGGAGGAGGAGGAGGATGAGGAGGAGGAGGAAGGGGAGGAGGAGGAGGAGGAGGAGGAGGAGGAGGAGGAGGAGGGGGAGGAGGAAGAGGAGGAGGAGGAAGAGGAGGATGAGAAGCAGGCGGAGGAGGAGCAGGAGAAGGAAGAGGAGGGAGGAGGGGACGGAGGAGGAGGAGGAGGAGGACAAGACAAGACACACTTACGATCCACTGAACTGCTACACATGGCAAGCAAACAAAAAGAGAAGGGCGCCTGGAAGTTGCAGTTGACCTATTCTGGATCTGTGTACGCTTCTGTGAGCGTCTGTCTAGATCGCTCTGCTGGGGGGCACCACTGGCTCGATCCGAGAACCTCCTTTCGGGAGAAACCTGGAGGCCTCGGCTAAGCACCGAACCGCAGCTGAACGGATATGCAAGCGAGTCGAGAGGTCGCTTGCCTGCATCATGATATGGAAATATGAAGTGCACAACCGACGAATCAACATGCACACGCACACGTTGCACAAGGTGAAAATGCTGAGTGCAAGACAATTGAACTGGCAGGGCAACAGGGACGAGCTCAGAACAGAAAAGGACCTCCGCGCCCGAAGGCCACCCAGTCCTGCCTTACGGCTGGGGATTGGAGATCCTGTCATCATCGCCCGCGTGGTACAACTCATGGTTTGCACGCGTGCTCACAAGTTGGCGATGGGCCTGGTCATCAGAAGAGACTATGGCAACCTGTGGGCCAACTCGCATTCCCATAGATCGCACATTCGAGGCTCGCCGAGCCAAATCCACCAGAGAAATAGTGTGCTGCAACTCATCTACATAGAAGACTCTGAACTCCTGCCCAGCGGGCGTCTGGTAGCATGGAATCGGCTCTGAGCACCCATTCTGCAGATTAGGTAGGCCAACGTGCTGTAATAAGCCATCTCTCACCATCTGAGCCATTCGAGCAGACCCCCTGATCGTAGTCAAGGTAGCTAGCCCTCGCTGAGCTCGTCCTCGCTGAGCTTGAACTGGCCCCCGTGCGAGACCAAGCTGTGGAACCGTGCCGACGTTCTCCCCGTCCCAGGCGATCGTCGACGTTTGGAGTTTGAAGAACTTCGGCTGCACTTTCTTCTTGCGATTGTAGTGCGTCGGCCGCATCTGTGCAAGGTCTGCAAACTCTAAGGACTGGGCAGCAGCCAAGGATTCACGCAAGTTGCACCGTTGGGCCAGAAGATAGAGCAGATTCTGAGACTTCTGTAAATAGTCTGCCGAGCGCTGTACATTCTGGGCAAAAAACTTTTCCATGCTGAATAAATTAATGAAGTAGCCCCACTCTGCATCAGGCGTCTCCTCCTCCCTCCTGATCAGCTGCCAGTGCTCCTGCAAGAACTCAGCCCTCCCCACTCCACTCCTCAAGCTGCCCATCAATGCCTCCTTGCTCCACCTGACATACCGAGGGCGAAGGTTGAGTTGCAGTCCTAATGCTTCTCCTCCTGTGGCCTGGATAGTATATTCAATTCGGGCATATAGCGGAAGATGGTCGCGATGATCGCGATGTCTGATTAACTGCAACTTCCTATCAAGACTTCTGAGCGGTCCTGCCGAGGTGATATGTGGGGGCGAACATCGATGTATGCAGATGTAATCTTCCAGCGGTGTGCCACCAGCAGGTCCTGCGTATGTAGGACCGACTCCAATATGCAAGTTAACCGGGACCAAATCGAACATCTGAAGGAAGGGCAGTAGCACATCCGCTGAGTAACACAGACGACCCAACCAGCAATAATGGCCTAAGCAATCGTCCTGTACTGGCGTCCAGTCCTCGCTTCCACTCAGACGCTGCTGCCCAGACACTGAATTCAAATCCATGGCCACTATGGGGAAGCAGGTATGCGTAATTGATATTTTGGGGATACGTGGGCCAAGCAAAATACTGCAACAGCTACGATTGCTGCCCGCTGCCCTTGCCCATCCTGCTTTCAGTGTCCACCTCCTCCCCGCTCTCCTCCAAACGATCTCATCCCTCCCATATCGCCGTGCACCCGTCCCTGCGAGACAGACGAAGTCGAACTGTGATGTAACCTCTGCCACATCCACCAGCCTATCATGTGGTGCCGCAGACATCGGGTTGTACTGCATCACCGAGATGCCATTCATGATGCTACACTGGCTCCTGGCGGCCAGCAGCGATCCTCAAAGCATCAACGCTCAAAGGGAGAGCCCCATGAGGATGTCCATCCGAGCTGTGGCGCAGCTAGCACCGTCACCAAAAAGGGAAGTGTGGTGGGGGGGATGAGGAAGGCTGCGTTATCAGAATGTTGCACCCCCCCGTCTGGGCCGGGGTGCTTAGGAGGAGGAGGAGGAGGAGGAGGGGACAGCGAATCAAAATGAATAGTGCGCCCTAACATTCCGACACACTGCCAAAACACCATTTCTGGGACGTCAACTATGAAAACCCAAAACTCGTGGAACGAATGTGCGCGGCGCCACGGCGACAACCACATTTCAGAAAGGAACCGCCCTCCACCCGTGAAACTCGTCCACGCTGTGGCGAGAACCGCACTTGGAAGCCGGGCCGCCCTTCGCGGCGCTCCGGCGAGAACCGCATTTTGGAAGCGGGCCTCCCCCCCCCGCGTGAAGCTCTTGCCCTTTGTTGTGCCACGAAAGTGCGCGCCGCTGCGGCGAAAAAATACATTTCGACAACGGGCCGCCAGCCATCCGTGGAACTGCTGCACGCTTCGAGCTTCAGGATCGTAAGCGGTGAGGAAGTCTCGAGCGAAACGCCCGGCCCGCCCTTTTGACCGGCCCAGGGTGCGACAAGGAGAAGGAGTAGGAGGAGGAGGAGGAGGAGGAGAAGCAGGGGGAGGCGGCATGGAGGAGAACGGGGAGGAAGGAAGACGAAGGAGGTAGAAGGAGGAGGAGGAGGAGAGGGGGGAGGAGGAGGAGGAGCGGGGGGAGGGGGAGGAGGAGGCGGATGAGGAGAAGGAGGAAGAGGACGACGGCGACGACAACGACGACGAGCAGACAGAAGAGCAGCGCGGGCTCCTTTTTCTTCGCCTTCTTGTCCTCGCCAGCGTGCAGAGGGGCGAACGTCCGAGAAAGCCGAGCGGGCCGCAATAGCGACGTTCCGCCCGGCCCGCATTCGTCGCCGCCGTCGCCGGCCGCCGTCGTCCTCTTCGCCCTCCTCGTCCTCCTCGTCGTCCTCCTGCTCGTTCGCCTCCCTTTCCTCCTGGTCGTCGTGTTGCGCTGCTCGCAAAATTTGCTGGACGGGCCGCGACGATTCACGCTCGCTCTGTTCTGGGGGTTGTGTTTGTCAGCCGTGGTATTCCGTGGAGCTCGGATTCCTTCGTCCTCGTTGGCTCGCTTTGCACCAAGTCGCTTGCGTGGTGAACCAACGTCTGATTTTTGGGGGGTGGTCGCTGGGTTGGCATTCGTTCGGTTTGTCTTTGGAAGTTTGAAAGGGCCCACAGGGATGGTGGCTCCAAGACATAGTCGTGTTGTTTTCAGTGTGAGTTACTTGGGTTTGAAGTATAAGCTGTCATACATGTTACTGCAGTGGATTAGGAATCAGATCGGGAAGACTGCGTGAATGCAGAAAACCATGGATGCTTTGGTTTGTGGAGTCTTACCTGGATGAATCATGTTTGTTTGATTATTGGTGCATTTCGAAGAATCAGAGGAATGATGGTCCCAAGAGATTGTCTTATTGTCTCAAGCGTGGCAACACAAAACCGATGTGCACCCGGTGGGGCTCGCAAATCTGTATAGATATGTATACACGTATGCATGTGTGTATGTATGCATGCATGCATGCATGCATGCACGCATACCTGTATGTATGTATGTATGCATGTATGTATGAATGTATGTATGTGTGTATGTAAACATGCATTTGAGCATGTGTGTATGTGTATACATGCATGCATGCATGCATGCATGCATGCATGCATGCATGTATGTATATATATATATATATGTATGTGTGTATGTGTGCTTGTATGTTTGTATGTTTGTATGTTTGTATGTATGTATGTATGTATGTATGTATGTATGGTTGTATGCATGCATGGTTGTTTGTTTGTGTGTTTGTGTGTGTGTATGTGTGTATGTATGTATGTATGGATGGATGGATGGAGGGATGTATGTAGTATGTATGTGTGTATGTATGCATGTGTGCATGTGTGTATGTGTGCATGTATGTATGTGTGTACGTATGCGTGTATGTATGTATGCATGTATGTATGTATGTTTGTATGTGCGTGTATGTATGTATGTATGTATGTATGTATGTATGCATGCATGCATGCATGCATGCAGGTATGTATGTATGTATGTGTGTGTGCATGCAATCATGTATGTATGTATATGTATATGCGCGCATGCCTGTATGTATGGATGGATGGCTGCATGTGTGCATGACTGCATGCATGCATACATGCATGTATGTGCATGTGTATGCATGTATGTATATATGCTTGCACACACATGCATGTCTGTGTGCATGCGCGTGTGTTTGTATGTATGTATGTATACATATATATATGTATGTATACACAATCATGAGATGTGTTGAGTCCGATTGCCCTCGTCTGGCCAGGGCCTGCGCGGCTTACCGCTGCTGCTGCCGCACTTGTTGTTCTGGATGCTCCCTGGTGAATGTCTGGCCGAGCGCCGTGTTTTGGACCTCGGCGCCAAAAGCGGCGTCGGGCACCTCAACCGAACATGTGGAGCCATCGCGGGCACCGCGGCGGTAGGTGCCTCAGCTGGGCGCCAGCTGGCAGCGTACCCCTGGGGCCGCGGTCCATGCCAAGAGGCCCCATCTCTCCTTTGAGTCGGCCCCTCCTCCTCCATCCTCGTCCCGTTTCTGGTGCTCGTCCTTGTCGGTGTCTCTCATCCCCCCTCCTCATCCCTGGTCCCCTTCTCCTCATCCCCCAGCCGCGGGGGTCCTTGGTCTTCTTCTCCTTCTTGCCCTCCTCCTTGGCCTCCTTCTGAATCTGCAGGCCCGTCAGCAACCCCATGCGGCCACGCCGACGGGGCCCGCGGCCACCCGGGCTCGCGCCAAAGATGGCTGTTGTTAAATAGGAGCGCGGGGGGGGGGATCGTGCGCTGAGGCATTGGATTGAAGGGTGTGGGATGCCCCGCGAGACGCGAAACGGTAGCGGCGAGAAACTAGAGGAAGGACAACTTACTTTGCCTCGAAGACTATATTCGGCGGCGAGCAAGGGGGGGAAAACGAGAAGGAGAAGGCCTTCTCAGAAGGCTCGGAAGTCCCCCAGCCTTCTGAGAAGCTTTCGAAGCCTCCCCCGAGGACACAAACAACTTCTCAGGAGGCGCGAGGACTTCTGAGAAGTCCTGCCGCCTTCTGAGAAGGCCTTCTCCTTCTCACTTCCCCCCGTGGCTCGCCGCCGATATATGCGATCTGCTTCGGGGCGGGCTGCCCGGCGAGCACAGGCACGCTCTGGGCCCGGCGGCGGCGGTGTGCAGTCGCCTGGGCCTGGCGGCGGCGGCATGCACAGGGCTTGCGCGGCGCGTCGGGAGCTCGATCCTCCCAAGGCAGACTTGGAAGTCGTGTAACGTCCCCTCCCTCCTCCTCCTCCTCCTCCTCATCATCATCCTCAACCTCCTCCTCCTGCTCCTCCTCCTCCTCCTGCTCCTCCCCCTCCTCCTCCTCCTCCTCCTCCTCCTCCTCCTTATCTCTCTCCTCCTCCTTCCTGCCCCTCAACTTTT